AAAAAAAACATTTTTCTCTTGTAAGAACTGATCCCAAGGAGTAAAAATTTCAGAAACTTTATGAGAAAACTCTGATTTTGTTGTTACTTGCTTGTTAATTCGCATTTTCGTTGCAGGTTCATCGAGGACTACAGAAGTAATCGTTCACCGCACTTTTCAGCCCCTGTCTGTAGAATGCTTACTGTAAGGTGAGTCATGGTTTCTTCGCTACTTTTACGAACATTTTAATCATCAATGCAATTCTATTATCTTGTGAATGTAGCACGGATAACCATACATTGCTAATAATTCTTAAACTTTATCCCACACGTTAGAAAAAAGGTAAGACTGCACTGAGATACCAACAAGGGGTGGGACATTTGATAGTGATCTATGGAAACATCATATTTATCAACTTCTTACACATTTACAACCTTCTTCGTGTATTAGAAAATTACAGTAAAGCCAAAAAAAAGAAAATTCGAAAATGCAAGAAAGTTGGAATTTATAAAAATACCTATGAATTATACAAGTCAAATGATAGGTAATCGTATAAAGTTAGCTTAACTGAGGTAATTTGGTATTTGTTTCTTATAAAATTTGTATTTTTATAGAATAAATTTTTTTAGTGAAATGTATATTCTAGAAATCTTGATGGAGAGGAGAAATCCTTGGAAATTGATGATCTGGTCGATATGGTGCTACAAGTGACGAAGAATCTAGATGATGCCGAATTAGGTATGCTTCTTTAATTTTTCTAATAGTTTTCCCAGTGCTCCGCAATTTAGATGCTGATTGAGCTGAACTCTGCTAAATTAAAGTTCACTATGCTCAAATCATCACCCATCATGTAATCAGCAAAACTAGTTCGACTTCTGAATTTGACTAGATGATGTCAATTTATTATTGCATCAAAATGAAGTCACATGTTTTAGAGCGTCATCTTCTTTTGTCTGTAAAAGTCGTTCAGGGGTTGAACTATTGGGTATCCGTTATCAGTTCAGAACGTCTTCGTACAATCTTAAAACAGTTTTTAAAAAGCCAAAAAAACCTGCGGTGTTGCATTACTACGCTAAACATATGTCATGTCAAATGACTGCATTATCGACAACAGTTGATTGTCCAGCTATTTGACAATGCATTCAAGGGATGTTTTGTAATCTCACCTTTTCATATTGCACTGGTGTATATAAAAAGCTTTATTAGTTTTAAAAAAACCGTGTTCGTGATTTGAACACGAGACAGAGTCACAATTTTAACTCATAGGGATTGTAAATGCCTTAACGGTGTTGAATTAAATTACTTATGTGAAACATTTCTTAACCGAATTTTTTTGAAATTCTTTTATAATATCAGGAATAAACATATTCAAACCTAACAATATTAATATATATTGCTGTTGTTATACATTATAATATCATATATTATAATATAATAACAAAATGATAGGATGAATAAATGTTATATGCCGGTAATATTATA